AAAAAAAAAAAAAATAACAGCCGTAAATTCTAAAAAATAAAAATAGTTCAAGATCTTAATGGTTATTCATATAAAAATTCTAAAAAATATATATTCAAATAAACACATAAAAATTCTCAGTCCACACCATTAAATTTTATTTTTTTAGTTTCTATGTTTTGCCAACTTAATTCATTATTTGTTTTTGTTTTATTTTTATAGCGACAAAAATTGTAAGATTTACCAATTTCCAAAATGTATATATTACTTAATAATATATTAACATAAATTGTTCTAATATACAAAATAATCAAATTTCATGGATTAAAATGTCATAAATTTTTTTTTCAAAATTTTAAATTTAATATGTTTCCTATTTTTCTGTTCAAGAGACATATTTTTTTGAATAACAAACGAAACACGTTTTTAATAATCTTAAAACAGATTCTCAAATCAAAAAATTGAAATTGAACTGAAAACTGAAACTCAAATTAAATGGCCCTTGATGTTTTAAATTTGATGCAACCTAGTTAATATTGATTAACACTTCGAATAAGAAAATAAAATGAGAACCATATCGAGGTTTGATTATTGGACAATTCTTGTGGTACATTATGGGATTTATAATGAACAATTCTTGTAGTACATTATGAGATCCATAAGGGTTTACATAATGGACACTTTGCGATCTACAATTGGTTGGAGTGCCGGTCCCACAGGCTCTCCCACCAATTGTAGGCCGCAATGTGTTCCACAAGAATTTTCCTTGATTATTATACAATGAATTGAGAACCAAACACCCCGTCCCAATTCTATGATAACCAGTTCCCTTACACTTAGGGTAGGCTAGTGGCTCTTAATTTCATTCAAAATACTACGCATGTTATGCATTTGGCTACGTTCATGAAGATATAGACGAAGTATTCGATATATTAGAGATGGGTTTTATGGGTAAACACTAATGCGCTCCATGGAATACATTTGGTAAAAATCGAAATGATATTGTACCACCAAGGCATCACACTCCACTTCACTCTCATTCTTCCTAGTTTTATGGAGACTTATCATTCTATCTTAAAAGGTTAACCAGGTTAAGATGAATAACCCAAGCTTTTATATATTGGTTAGTGTTTTATGCCTAAATGATGTTGAGTTTTTCTCTTAACATGCTTGCACTCGATCATGCAATGAAGTTAAGTCCATTCTAATTAAGCGGATGATGAAGTTCAAAGACACAAGGTATGGAGAAATACTACAAATCAGTTTTTCTGTTCAAGATTTTCTGGATATCCATTGCAGTTTTAAATTCCTTCCACTCAATAATACCTTAACTTCTTTGAATCATTTCAATATAAAAAAATGGAACTCTGAATTTCATGCAAGTTGTTATTCAAGATATGGTATTATAAGTTCAGCATACCATTTTTCATGGAAGTATGACGTTGCCTTTGTATCTAGACAGCAAGCATGTGGATCGTAGTCATTACCCCGCAAACCCCTCTTCTTCTTCTTCACTGCCTTATAAATTTGCATGTTCGAGTCCATTTGATTTCAAGAAAAACAAGATCCAGCTGTAGAAGAACTATCTATATTATAAGAAATGGCCTTTCCATCCACCTTTCTTCTCATAACTCTCCTGTCTATTGCATTCGCCGTGTCCTCGACTCAAGGCATATCACTTGGTGGTGGAATATTGGGAGGTGTTATTACTTGTACCAACACTTCTGTGGCTGTAGCCGGAACATACAATGTGATCCCACAAGCAAAAGTGGATCTTGTTTGTGGAAGTGGTTCTGTTACCCAAATCGTAAAATCAACAGTAACCAATACTGCCGGAGTTTATTATTTTGTGTTCACATCATTGGATACTATTTTAAATGACCCTGGAAAATGCTTCCTTTTGGTGACACTACCAACCAACACATGCATATTCAACATCCCCAATGGTGTTCTCAGGATCCCTATTGTTGTGCTTAGCACGGTCGACGCCTTGGTTGGGAAGTTGCTGATATTGGTTCCTGGTGCTCTTAGTTATGTGCTTTCCCACTGAAATTAACTGAAAAATGTATTCAACCTGGATGCATGTTATCTGCCTTAATAAGTGCAGTACCAGCACAGTTAATTTACATGCATTTAGTGTGTCCTCTCATGTATTTCACTTTTCTATGATGAACTAAGCCGAAGTTATCAGAAGTACTGGCAGTTAATTGGCTTTGCAGAACTAAAATATGGTTCATCATTTCATTTGTTCGCGTCGTTGCGATTTCTCTTTAATTTCCTTTGAGTGAAGCTTCCCTCTTAAGATCATAAACATAAAGAGATTAATCTCCTATTGCATATGCCCAAAAATCAAGAAAATATGATATTGATGGTGACATCAAACTCCAGTTTGTTACTAAACCACAACTATGACGACGGAGAGGGCTTAAGTCTAAGTGTCTAACCTTGGAAAAAGTGAAGCTATATGAGCAAAACAAAATGCAATTAAGGTAAAAACAACCTATTCAAGCTTATGATGATAATTCTTTTCAATATATATAGTCATGCAAATACTTAATGTACATGGTAAAAGACTAATGTCAATTATTATCCTCTTCACGAAGATTAAACAAACGCTGTCCTGAAAAGGAAAGTGCCGGATTCAATTAATTTTATTTTAGTACTAATATTAAATTATTGTAAATGGGCGAAGGATAATTCTCTTTCTAAATTAGGTCACTAAGACCGTCCAAAACTAAAATATTAAGATTTTCTAATATAAAAAGTATTATTTACAGAGTTGGTGAAGGATAAAAAAAATCTCTTACAAAAACCTTCCAATCTAATAGGTGTAGAATCGATTTATTTATGAACTTTTTTACTATTTCATGCTCTTTTGTTTTCTTGTTGTAGTTATCCACGTCTCTTTATTTGCATGATGATGGTAATCATTTTTTGTCGTAGAAATCTTCGAGATATTTTGGTTCGGGTTCAGTTTAATTAACTAAACAAACACGAACCGAGAAGGCTCCGACCCACAACGAAATGGTGAAAGTGATTTGTGGATCCGACTAGTGCACGAGCGTCGAAAAAATTTTGAAGTTAGCATTTTATCGAAATTTTCGAAATACTAGTTTGGGACGGTCTATTTTGACAAGCAGTTATATTCGCTCCGTTTGGCCATTGCACGCGCAATTAATGACGTAGAAAACTAAGCCGTAAACACTTCAAAATAGTTTTAAAAATGCAATATATTGACTTTGTTTGGCATTCCGTAATGACTTCGAAAATTGAGATAAAAACATAGAAAATTTAATAGTGATAAAAAAAATGAAAAATACTACTTGTACATCACACATTGTACATAAGGGGATACATCACTCTCACATGGGGTGTGGGACCCATTGCATAAATTATTTTTTAATCTAAGCGGGTCCCACCTCCATGTGAGGGGGATGTACACCCCGATGTACGATGTGATGTACAAGTAGCAATACCGAAAAAAAATTGCCCATCAATTGGGAGGTCACGTGACCCCATGCCACGTGTCTGCCTTGATTGTGTCCTCACTAGTAGGGGAAAACAACACGCAGTTGAGGGGTAAAAATGACCTGTTCAAACTTACGAGGATAATTCTTTTGTTATATTTTGTCATACTGCTATTAATACATGTACATAGTAAATGATCATCCTCCGTAGATTAGAACAAATGGTGTCCTAAAAGGGAAAGTGCCAGTTTCAATTACTTCATTTAAATTCTAGTATTAAATTATTGTTCATGGACGAAGGACAAATATATTCCCTTTAAAAATCTTACAACAAGATCCTCCTGTTGGTCCCAAACAAGTTTGTAGAAAACGATTTGTAACAAAACCACAAGAAAAACAAAATAGAATATCAAGAATCACAATACAAGGAATTTTTGGCCTTAGGCCCCGAGGTTCAGTGACCTTTTAGACGCTTACATCCCCGTTGAGCATCCGTTTAAAGATTAAGCTCAAATCCACTAAATCGCCCAAAAATGACTGAAAATTTACAGTACACGACTCAAAACATCAATGAATCACTCAACCAACTTCTCTCAATACTCATGAACTCACACAAGAGATCATAGATCTACTCTCCTATCTCTAAAAATCACACAAAAAATATAGAGATCTATTTTACAGAGAAAAAACGTAAAAGTCGAATAACAGAGAGAGAAAGCTGCGCCTTAAACTAAGAACACTCTAACCCTAAAGATGAAAATGATATATATATTAGTTCCAGAATCTTAAGTAGGTTGGACCGCCTTTTGGGCCAGACTAGCTGCTGCTATTTAAAGCGGGCCTCTATTAAAAACAACAAACAACTAACAATCTCCACCTTTTGCTGTATTTTGGGACACTACCTCGTGGATTTGAACATAGAACTAAAACTTCATTTGCTCTTATTACCTGTACAAAAACAGAAAGTTAATTTTCTTCAAGATTCAATAATCTTAAAGAATCCAAAAATTTATTTATAGGTATTATCTTGGTTCCTGCATCTGCAGGATTTACTTGAGTTGGTATTTTTACCAACTTGATACTTTGGTTCTTGCATCTGCAGGATTTACCTGTGTTGGTATTTTAACCAACTTAATATCACCCCTGTCAATAATATCTCGAATGAAATGAAACTTAACATCTATATGCTTGGACCTATAATGAAAAACTGAATTTTTGCTCAGAAAAATTGCACTTTGGTTATCAGAACATAGATCCACCTGATTTTCTATAAGTCCTAGTTCTTCTAATAGACCCTTCAACCATAAACCCTCATTTGCTGCCTCTGTAGCAGCAATATATTCAGCCTCGGTTGAAGACAATGCAACTACCTTTTGTAATTTACCTTTTGTAATTGTGATTTCCAGCTAATGCATGTATCATTCATGACATAAAAGTATGCAGTTGTAGATTTCCTATTGTCTGGATTTCCAACATAATCAGAATCTACATAACCTTTTAGTTTAAGTCCATTTTTATCAGTTTTGAACATTAAACCTAAGTGACTTGTTCCTTACAAGTTTTTAATCAAATTTTTCATGCATTGCCAATGTAATTCACCTAGATTACTCATAAATCTGCTTAGCACACTTACATCATAAACAATATCAGATCTAGAGCATACCATCACATACATAACAGAACCAACAGCATTAGAATATGGCACATTCTTAGCACGCTTACAGCATAAGCAATATCAAGTCTAGAGCATACCATCATATACATCACAGAGCCAACTGCATTAGAATGTGGCAGATTCATCATTCTTTTATGTTCATTTTCAGATTTGGGTGATTGATCAACAGATAGTTTCATACTACCAGACAAAGGTAGGCTTACAGGTTTAGAATCATGAAGGGAAAATCTTTTGACTACCTTTTCAACATAGGACATTTGTGTTAGAAACAATTTTTCATTTATTCTATCTCTTTTAATCTCCATGCCCAATATTTTCTTAGTTGGTCCTAAGTCTTTCATTTCAAATTCAGATTTTAACTTCTCTTTTATCAAGTTAAGAGTAACAGAATTGTGACCAGCAAGGAGTATATCATCAAAATACAAAAGCAAGTAAAAGGATTCAAATTTTCCATCTTTCTTAAAGTAAAAACATGTATCATAATCAGATTTCTTAAAATCTAACCCTTGTATAAATGTGTCAAACCTTTTATACCTCTGCCTAGGGGTCTGCTTTAGGCCACACAACGATTTCTTTAAGAGACACACTAAGTTCCCTTTATCTTTACCTTCAAACCCTCTTGGTTGAGTCATATATATAGTTTCATCTAATGAACCATATAAGAAAGCAGTTTTCACATCAAGTTGTTCTAACTCTAGGTCAAATTGAGTCACAATAGCAAGTAAAATTCTAATAAAGGTGTATTTGACAACATGTGAAAAAATCTCAACGTAGTCAATCTCTTCCCTTTGTGTAAACCCCTTTACTACAAGCCTGGCCTTATACATTCTATTTGACTTATCATCTCACTATTTTATCTTGTACACCCATTTATAATCAATCACTTTGCATTCCTTGGGTTTTTTCACTAAGCTCCAGGTCTGATTTTTATAGAAAAAGTTCATTTCATCTTCCATTGCTTCAGTCCACTTAAGGGAATCTTTACAGGAGACAGCTTCTTCATAAGAAGCCGGTTTAGTATCAAACAGATCAGGTTCAGACACAAAATTAGCATACTGATACCTGGAAGGAGGTCTTATTTTCTTCCTTTCTCTATCTCTAGCAAGCTGGTAGCCCTGCAAGTCATTTGCAGGCTCCGAATGTAGCTCATCTTCAATAACTTCAACATCAGAGGCATTTTGTGGTTCTATTTCATGTGGCTCCACCTCAAACTGAATCCGATCATTTTCAGCCTCCTTGTCCAGATTTATCTCAGTGATTATAAACTCATCTTCCCCAATCTTTTCACCAGATTTGTCACTAAGACAAGAAAAATCATCTTCATTGAAGATCACAGATCTACTAGTAATCACCTTATAACCTTTCACATCCCTTAACCACAGTCTATAGCCTTTAACTCCTTCTCCATAACCTAGAAAAACACCCTTCAATGATCTAGGGCCCAGTTTGGAATCTATATGATGTGCATATACTGCACATCCAAAGGTTCTGAGATATGAGTAGTCTGGTAATGTGCCAGACCAGATATGTTCAGGAATTCTATTGTTTAGAGAGTTGGAAGGACACCTGTTTATGAGATAACATGCTGTTTTTACAGCTTCTCCCCAGAACATTTTTGGAAGATCAGAACTGATTAACATGCATCTAGTTCTCTGAAGAATGGTTCTATTTAATCTCTCAGCAACTCCATTTTGTTGAGGGGTGTAGCTGATAGTTTTATGTCTCATTATCCTTTGTTTAGAGCAATATTGATCAAAATCAGAATTACAGAATTCAAGCCCATTGCCAGTTCTTAAAATTTTGATCTTCTTATTAGTCTGATTTTCAATTAATAAGTTCCATTCTTTGAAAATTGAAAATGTATCAGATTTAGATTTTAGTAAGAAAATTCATGTTTTCCTTGAAAAA